CCGCTGAGCGACCAACAGATACTCAGTCGGCAACTGCACAATTAGGGACTTGCCGCTGCGCCTTCTTCAGTCGGCGAACCGGCCCCTTCGCCCTGTACAGTAACAACCGCAAAACGACAGCATCAAACAAAAGAGATACATGAACATGCCTTGCAAACGAAACGTCCTCCAGGAATATTCCAAAAGCAACATCTACATTTGAGAACGCCGCTAGACAGTAGCACAACAGCATAGCACTTGCATGACACTTCCTGTTGAGTTTTCAAACCCCGCATCATATGCACGAACATGACATCCTAAAGCCTTGCTAATGCTGCCTGCCTATCAAAACAGACACCCCTGTATTCCAGCTTAAAGCCATCCGCACACAACAGATAAAACCACCAAAGACGCAATCTCAAACCAGCTCGGGCTCCCGACAACAGGGGGATCCACTTAGCTAGCTTGGGCCTATCACCTGAGCACTCCCCAGAGTCCAACAGCCCCCAAATGCAAGTGCTGCTGGCCTCCCAACAGATGCCCACAACCAAAGGGAACAGGGACGCACCGGTGCATCAACGTCAGGCTTGGTCATCCCGGCCTGCACCTGTCAAGACACAATCGGGAGCAGTCATGCGCAAGATAGAAAGTTCTCCAGATGCCCAGTTGTGCAACTAAGACTGTGAATGGCCACTACTAGCGGAGCCGTATAGTGAACGTCGGAGGTGTACAGAGGGAAGGCAGCAAGAGGACTTGCCGATTCTTTGGTCATGGCCGTCTTGGGGACCTGGCAAATGGTATCCACAAGAAAGAACGGTAATAATGCGCAAGCATTGGCTATTGTGACGCCACATAAAGGCCGCACCACAACTATGGCAGTGCTGAGATGCGTGGCCTGAAAGTCGTGCTACAGCAGTGTACGGTGGGCACAGTGGAATGGGTTACTCTGTCAAGATGCTGAAGTCCACAAACACACGCACAGCACATCGCACAACAAATATTAATGGAGTTTCACGTAAATATGTGCGTCTCCACCAATGCATATCTGTCAGTAGTTTTCGTCTAGTTCGCACATTTTCGGCAGCAACTGTGATCGCAGTTTTCCACTAGGGTCCATAGAACAGGCTTATTCTAGGACGAAGCACTAGCGGCACAAATCTGTATCGAATAGACAGGGCCACAAAGGCAAACCTGGTAAACAATGTCTTCGACTCCGGGTATCATTCCTTCTCCAAGACGAGAGTGCAAGTTCTGCCAAACCCTCTTTTTTGGCGATGGCTAAGAATACACACACAGAGCTCATTACAAGGCACTCAGAACTTAGTACTCGATGGATAAATGCCGGTTACGCCAGGTCGATGAGGAGGAAATTCGTCCTCACTGTTTCACAGTTACTGCCAATCAGCACGCATTCTTGAGTGCGGAAAGGCAGTCTGATATCTGCCTGGCTCGCTGATAGTAAGTTAATCTACACGCTAGATGCACAAGAATATCCTGCGGGCCCTGATCAACCAATTGTAGATGACTTTGCAGGGTGCTTCTTTGGGCTGGCACTGCATAGGTTCAGAGTTCTCTCAGTGTTCTACATCATCTCACGTAGTCTGTCGAATAGAACCTAAGAAGCTGGCACAATGATAATAATCAGCCTATAGTGTTGCCAAAAATTTAACGCTAGAATCTAAAGTGTTGTTGTTCCACAGGGTAAATGTGATCCTGTTTGTTGGCACCAGTAGCATGACTGCACCGATCATTCTCTACTTACCGAGGCGTCGGCTGACCAGTCTTGCACCTTGACGTACTCGACCCGTGGTGGCATCCCCTGTTCAGCAGTAAATACAACTAAGCATTATCGTCACCAGGTTATGTAGCGGTCGAGCTCAGGCATGCTGGCTGACAAATTCATCCGGTGCCACAGGTTAAGCGTTTCCCAACCTCCGCAGGAGGCGCAACATACAATCTACAGTAAACATTTTACTCTACATAAATAGTGGCAAACCTGTGGCACCATCCTCACCGGTGTAGGACCCGTTGGTATAACGATGTCGTGTTTTATGTGGCCCTTCTGAGCAGCAATCGCCAACGCCTTCGTGATCGCAACCTGAGGCCACACAATTTGCCAAAAAATTTGTTCAGACACCTAGGACGCACGAGGCACACTCACGAGTCATCGCAATGGGTGTTTCTTTGCACGCGTAATGTTCGCACAGCGTCGAGGGGAGCGCTGCACGAATACTGGAGGCATTACTCCATGCAAAGCACAGCTCGTGAGCACCCCTCTCAATGTTGTTTATTCACTCAGCCCAGTTTAGCAGCTCTGTAAATACTTTGACAGTGAAAAAGGAGCAGTCTCCAGGAGGCATGAACATGGAGGTTTGCAGAGCCCTCCACGACACTAACTTGATACTGAAAACGCAGCACAGCAACACAACCACTTGTAAATGACGCAAAAGAAGCAGGCCAGATATTGGTTGCTAATCAAGTTGGAGTGTAGTAAGGGTTTAGGTCGGGAGGAAGAAATATTTCTGAGCTAGCAATGGGATGTCCCACTAGGCAATGCTCACTTCCTTTTGTTCTTGTGAGTCTTTGCCCACTCCCGCGCCAACTCTCTGCAGCACCATACAATCACACAGGACAGCAACAACCATGCGGCCAAATTTGAAGCTATTAAGACGTAGTCCCCTGGGGTCCTAGAGGGGGGCAGAATTGATCGGGTTTGAATTATAGGTAAACCTGTCGGAGCCTACATAGCTTTCTTTTTCGCCGCCTCCATCCGCGCTACTCTTAACGAGGCTGCCGACAATATGCTGCACCTCGTCCTTCATTTTCCGCGGTGGTTTAGGACCATGCTGAAGGGAAGCGTAGCAGCTCAGCAAGTCAAAACTGAGTTTTGAAGCTGTCTTCGCATTCTCGGCCACCTCAAGCAACCACTACAGGAATGCAGCTCTAGGATTTATATGTATATTTATGCCTAGTCTGCAGACTTGCCTACACGAAAGAAACCACTTGATTAATCCCTGCAGTGGAAAGGCATTTACATGTCTGTTGTAAGGAAAAGTGAACTGCCTATGCACCTGCGCTAGTTCAGAAGCCGCACTGTTCGCTCACCTCGACGCTCGGGATGTTCTTCTTAGGTTTCAATGACAAATCGTCCTCTTCCTTCAAAAACGCGCATCACCATGGCAAATCCACGATGTGAAGATCTTTGTCACACCGGAAAACGAAGACCGAATGCATACCAAAACAAATGCATGACGCCGCAAAAATGCGTATCATATATACACGCTGTCTCTCCTGACAGCCTACTGTGCTCCTGAACCTGCGACTATACACGGTCACAAATTCAGGATCTCAACAGGGTGTCGACGGAACTGCAGTGCCAATGAAGAAACAGCAGCAAATTAGAGGCCTGCCTCCGATTCCGAGTCAGCAGTTGGAGTCTTAACGGTACTGCGAATTCCCTGGCACGCAAACCCACACGCAATGAAAGTGTTCTACTACTTCACGGCGACGTGTGGGGCTTGATTGTACTAACTCTAGCCGACCGGCTTCGTGTCAGTGACCTGCAGCTCTTTTCATGCAAATATGATAGCGACCAACAAATACATTCGCACTACGGCTACGAAAACAAGAACCACAAACCAGTAGGAGCGATACACGTGCGTAGAGCATAACTCAGTTGCCTGACCTGCGAAGGGCCAAAGACTCCTCGGTGACGGCGGCCCAGTCCAAAGGTCGCTGTTCTCTGAAAGGCGGTTGCAAATACGCTTGCATCACCCTGTGTACGCACATGCGGGTCCCAGAAGAAGATGTAGCCGGTAAGAGCACCCAGCTCACGTTGGCCTCACATTTACTTTATACATGGCGCAACCCATCTAAGCATGGAGCTGGCATTCATTACACTGGAGTGCCTGTGAAAGTTTTCACTCTTTTCCAGGAGTGTCCTATATTGTGCTACGCATGAAATAGAGGGTACAAGGGGCAGCTAATGGACTGAGTAACACAGGCAAAATGGCTTGCCTGATTGTCTGAGTCTTTATCTCTGGGGGAAGAGGTTGATCTTTCGCTTGCAGCCCCCTGCAAATGCACAAAACCTGCAGGATCTTCTGTAATTGTTTTCCTCCACAGAAGGTTCATTCCCGTATGAAGCTAAACTGGTGTGAACCATGCCAGATCCTTGGATAGAATATGCTAAGGAGCCCACAAGGCCCACAAACGCACTGGCGCACAGCTGCAACCCAGATTCCCTTTTACCCAAATGCATGACACTGCCGTTTCCTCTGTGTGGTCTATGAACAGCAAAGAATATTATCTCCATTCCCCCCCCCC